ATTTATTTTATCAAATTAATTTTTATTATGTGTTTGGATGATAATCATGTAATGGGTAGTTGTTAAACTTTTAATGTGTAATCGATACATTTAATATATGAAATATTTTTAGTTTTGGATTTTTTTTTTTTGATTTAATGGACTGGTTTAATAATGATATCAAAATTGTCGCCATATTTGACTTTTAAAAAAATAGAAACTAATTTAATAAAAACAAAAACAACCACCTATTACATGATTATCATCCAAACACATAATAAAAATTAAATTTTCTTTTAAATTCAGGAAGATAGTTAAAACTTAATTTTTAAAATTTTCTTTTAAATTTTTTTTGAAAAAATATATAAAAAATATGAGAAATGATGTGACTTAAAATGAGTTAAAAATTAATTTTTTTTTCTTTTAATTGACTTTCCAAAAGAGGCCATATATTATTACGTCAACTAATTTTTGAAAAATGTTAAGTTATTGAACATTTTAATGCGTGCCAATACTGATGTGCATGTAGATAATTTTAGGCTATTTTGGTTGTGATTTCAAATCACAATTTCACACCTTAATTCAAGTATGGTGTTTAGTTGTAATTCTCAAATGATGTTTTAAGAACTCTGCACAGAACACCTGTGTTGTTCTGTTTTTGACAGACGCATTTTTCCTTTTGTTGGGAAAAATCTTGCTTGGAGGGACGTCCGGCCGGCTATCCGGAACAGTAATTTTTTTTTTTTTTTTTTTTTGCAATTGATTTATATAATCGAAAAAAATATTTTTTGAAATTTTTAAAATTTTGTATGTGCTTTAAAATAATTTTGAATTGTATGTTTAGTTATGAGTTGTAAATTTCTGTATCACATATCAAATGTCACATCAACAATTCTCCACTCAAATCAAAACTCTTTTCAAAACTATTTTCAAAACTCTTTACCAAACAGATTTTCTACACTCAAATTATAATTTCACAACACACAAACTCAAAATACAACTCATACTCTCAAATCATATTTACAAAACACAACCAACCGCAGACTTAGTCTTTTATATTTGTTTGGAATTTCGTTATTTCATTTGAAAACTTATTCGTATTAGTTATATGTTACGTTTAATTTTTATTATAATTATAATTTATTAGGTTTTTTTATAATATGATGCATTGTTTATTAATAATAATAATAAAAAAATCAGACATTTTCTAGGTAAGACAACTTATTCATAATAGTAACAATCATCATGAGATTTTGTATCAATCTGATTCAATTGATAATGTTGGTAGTATTTTTGACAAAAAATTATTACTAAATTGGTTAAGATTAATACACTAAGTTGAGTAAGTTTATATTTTTTCCTTTATTTAGGGAAAGTTACCAATAAATCCTAAATGTTGAAATTGTGCTCCATTTAGTCCTAACTTTTTTTCTTTTGATTTATTTGGTCCTTTCTATTGCTAAATGACGTAATTACCACTACATATTTTTCTGAACGCTTGAATATGTGATGTGGCACATGTCACATTGAGGGTGATCAGTGGGTGCCACACATCAACAAAGTACACTAAGGCTCTTTATGAGGGTGATCGATGGGTGTCACACATCAACAAAGTACACTAAAGCTCTTTATGAGGGTGATCGGTGGGTGCCACACATCAACAAAGTGTACTAAGGCTCTTTATGCTTTTTGCCTTGGAATGATGTATGCCATGTGACACACACAAGGAACGGTATATTTGACCACTCAATGTTACCAAACAAAGAAAATAAGATCAACTGGTAAGATATTCCCTCACTAATAGGACTAATCAAAACAATAGAAATAAAATTAGGACCAATCGGTAAAACTGTTTGTCAGATAAGATTTATTGGTAAATATCCCTTAAAATTATTACACATGCCATTTATATACGTATTTTTCAAAAAAAAAAGTACTAAGAGTTGTAATTAATTAGACTAAATTGAGACAAAATCATGAATTCATTATCAAAATAGAGTCAATTGAAATTATATGGACAAAAATGACATAAAGACCTAAAGACCAAAATACAGGGATTACCGATAAAGAGACCAAACCATCTTGTCATTTTTCAAATATCAAAAACTAATAATAAATAAATAAAAACTTGTTTTGGGGTGGTTTGGGAATAAGTGAGTTTTTTGATTTTTTATGAAATATGGATTGGGTTTGAAGTGATGTGATAAATAAGTGATGCGACTTAAATAAGATGATGTGATTTAAATAGAATAGTGACTCTTTGACTTTTTGACATTTTTAGATTATGACAAATAAGGCCTCCATAAAACAAGCTAAAATGTATTAATTTAGTAGGAAGGTATTAATTTAGTTGTTTTGGTAACATGAAAAACAAAAATAACAAAAACATAACAAAATGCAACGTTTTATTATTATTATTATTATTTATTTATTTTATAGCAAAGATAAGAACATTTATAGAGAAAGAATCAAACCTAAAACACTTAGTGTTGTGTACTAATCATAAAGCTAACTACCAGATAAATTTTTAGTGACCCTTGAGATAATCAAACTCAAGACCTTAAATCATATTTAAAAATATAAATAATTGGTTAAATTACCCATTCAATTTCTCTGCAATGTTATTTCTATTTTTCAATCGTTTTGCCTAATTTCATACTGTCATGGAAATTGGGTTTTATAATTTATAAGTTTAATTTTTTTTTTGAAATATCTTTGGGTAAGATATAAATCTGGTGAAAAAATTTGAATTAGAGTCAAACTCTCTGATGGAGAAATTTGAATTAGAATCAAACTCATCTTTTATCTTTAAATATTTTGAAAATCTCTTATTCATATGATAACATATATATATATATATATATATCCATACCCTAAGTAATTAAAAAGTGAAATAAAAAGTATAAAAGAGAAAAAAAAAAAAAAGGAAAAATAGAATGAGAGAAGAATGGATGTGCCACCACGTAAAAAAAAGAGTTTCATCATATGTTAGAATTGAGAGTTTGGAGTTTTTTAATACTGTGTTTGGTTGAGAGATTTGGAAAGATTTAGAAATAGAAAGGAAAAAAATGTGTGAAACTAGGTGAAATGTAGATATATTTTATTCATATTTCACCTAACTTTTTCTTTTCCCTTTCCAAATCATTTTTTAAATCTCTCAACCAAATACAGCATAACTATCAATCCCCTCCATTCTATCTCTGAAAACAAACGACCCTCACTAACAATCCCTTCACTATTAATCCCCTCACTATCAATCCCCTCCATTCTATCTCTGAAAACAAACGACCCTCACTAACAATCCCTTCACTATTAATCCCCTCACTATCAATCCCCTCCATTCTATCTCTGAAAACAAACGACCCTCACTAACAATCCCTTCACTATTAATCCCCTCACTATCAATCCCCTCCATTCTATCTCTGAAAACAAACGACCCTCACTAACAATCCCTTCACTATTAATCCCCTCACTATCAATCCCCTCCATTCTATCTCTGAAAACAAACGACCCTCACTAACAATCCCTTCACTATTAATCCCCTCACTATCAATCCCCTCCATTCTATCTCTGAAAACAAACGACCCTCACTAACAATCCCTTCACTATTAATCCCCTCACTATCAATCCCCTCCATTCTATCTCTGAAAACAAACGACCCTCACTAACAATCCCTTCACTATTAATCCCCTCACTATCAATCCCCTCCATTCTATCTCTGAAAACAAACGACCCTCACTAACAATCCCTTCACTATTAATCCCCTCACTATCAATCCCCTCCATTCTATCTCTGAAAACAAACGACCCTCACTAACAATCCCTTCACTATTAATCCCCTCACTATCAATCCCCTCCATTCTATCTCTGAAAACAAACGACCCTCACTAACAATCCCTTCACTATTAATCCCCTCACTATCAATCCCCTCACTATTAATCCCCTCCATTCTATCTCTGAAAACAAACGACCCTCACGAACAATCCCTTCACTATTAATCCCCTCACTATCAATCCCCTCCATTCTATCTCTGGAAACAAACGGGGCCTTAGTGTTGTGTACTAATCATAAAGCTAACTCCTAGATAAATTTTTAGTGACCCTTGAGATAATCAAACTCAAGACCTTAAATCATATTTAAAAATTTTACATAATTGGTTAAATTACCCGTTTAATTTCTCTGCAATGTTATTTCTATTTTTCAATCTTTTTGCCTAATTTCATAATGTCATGGAAGTTGGGTTTTATAATTTATAAGTTTAATTTTTTTTTGAAATATCTTTGGGTAAGATATAAATCTGATGAAAAAATTTGAATTATAGTCAAACTCTCGATGGAGAAATTTGAATTAGAATCAAACTTATCTTTTATCTTTAAATATTTTGAAAATCTCTTATTCATATGATAACATATATATATATATATCCATACCCTAAGTAATTAAAAAGTGAAATAAAAAATATAAAAGAGAAAAAAAATATAGGAAAATAGAATGAGCGAAGAATGGATGTGCCACCATATAAAAAAAAGAGTTTCATCAGATGTTAGAATTGAGAGTTTGGAGTTTTTTAATACTGTGTTTGGTTGAGAGATTTGCGGAGAGATTTAGAAATAGAAAGGAAAAAAATGTGTGAAATTAAGAAATGTAGGTATATTGTATTCATATTTCACCTAACTTTTCCCTTTCCCTTTCCATTTCCAAACCATTCCTTAAATCTCCCAACCAAATACAGCGTAAGGGACCACTACATTTACTTATATATATATATATAGTATAGATTCATTTTACATGACCAAACAATCTAAAACGGTTCTGTTTTTAACTTCAAAAAATATATATATATGTAATGGAATGAAATATGGTATGATGTTGTGCGTTGGAAACAAGTTAAATGAATGAAAGACAGATAGATATGGATGTTTTTGATGGGTAGGTATGTTGTTGCTTCAAAGGTTTGCTAAACATGATTGCAACATAGAACTTAAATTGCACTCAAAGTTGTCTTCTATCCTACTTGACTCAGAGTGCAGTGGTGCATTTCTTTCTTCACCTTCCGTTCCCTCCTTATATGTGAGTGTGTCCGTGTGTGTGTAGAGAGAGAGAGAGATGGCAGGAGGAATGGCTTGCTTTGAGAGGGCATCCCCAGCACTGAAGCAGATTCTGCTCAAATTGTATAGGTGAGAATTACTACTCTCCTATTAATATGTTTTTAGATTAATTACACTTTGAATCCTATACTTTTAACTTAAATTTCACTTTAATCTCCATAATTTTAATTTAATAATTTAATCCACACTTTAAATCTAGTTTCAATTCCTACGTGTACACCTTAAGATATTGACAAATACCCCAACAATCGTTGATTTTAATCTCCAACTTGAATGGAAGGTGGACCAAACTGAAACTAAATTTGAAGTGTAAGAATCAAATTGTTCAATTTAAAACTATAGGGATCAAAGTTAAATTTAAACTATAATGGTGAACAATGTAATTTATCCTTCTCTCTCGCTCTCTATCTCTTTCTATTATCATTGGAGTATATTGAAGTGCTTGGGCTACTTTTGGTTGCTGGATAAAACCTAAATAAGGATAGGACTATTCCAGAATAAAACGTTTTCACTATGTGACTTAGAGGATAGTATGTTTCGACGATTAGATGACAATAAAATGCAACTGGTATTCACATTCACAATGGAAACAATCATCAAGAAGCGCAAAAGAAAAATTATTCCAATGTCCTATATGCAAATTTGCGCATAGTAGGGCTATATTCTGTAACAAAACCACTTCAAACATAATGCAGAACTAGGTTTCAAGTGGAGAACCCTTTGATGGTAATATGTTGTTCAATTCATGTGTGAAAAGGGTGGAGGTAATTTCTCTGTAGAGGGAGCTCTCGCACTTTGGCTGTTTGGCAGACAGGAAAATGTGTTTTCCAGGTAGATTTCCAATGATGGGTCTTGCAATGATCTAGCGGTGTAGTGAAATGCAAACCTCAAGTATCTTTGTGGCAATTTTTATTTTTATTTTTTTATATCAAATATGGGTTGAGCTGTCCACTCACCAAACACGGCATGTTACGTTAGAAATGGAGAGTAATGTAGACATTTCCTTGACGAAAATAAAAGGTTAATGAATAGAATATCCCTGCATGTGCAATGAAATAAGTCATTAAAAATGGTAACGAGACAAACCGATATCTTTGTGATAGTTTTTGAGAGGATAATTTGTATAGCTAGATTGGGCCAAGCTAGGAAGCATTGTTTCTGAATATTGTGTCGCGTTGTGGGCCAAGTTATGAGCTGAGGATAGCTCGGTGTGGGAACAATGGTTGACAGGTTGATCGGTGAGCTCCAGATGCGGTCAATGGGCGAGCCGAAACCGAGCTAGAGGTAGCCCGGCGAGAGGATTCAAAGTAATTGGTGATCGTGGCCCAGTCAAAGTATTTGCACCAGATAGCTCGGTTAGGCGTAGTGAGCCGAGCAAGGCGATAACCATCTCACTTAGTTGGTAGTGAGTAGGGTGTTATCAGGATAGGCATTATCCTTGGGAATGTGATTCCTAGGAGGATTTTGTTAAGAAGAGTTAAAGTCCTACTAAGATTGTGCTAGGCAGAATTTATAAAAGCTCATAGCAGGACCTATGCACAAGTATTACAATTCTTACTCTTAAATACGCAGAGCTTATTGTCTATTGTCTACTTACTAATTTAGGCATTAGAGGGGTTTCTTCTGGCACACACCCGCCGACTAGCTCTCCTGTGTTTTGAGGTAGCAAAGCGACGATGTTTGGATGAGTGCAAACTTAATCAACAGGATTATACGAGAAGATTATTTCGTACTCGTACAATTAGCGTCGTCTGTGGGAACTATCACAGAGAACAAACCTTTTGATTGAGATTTACTTCAACTAAGTTCAATGACGTACAACGAAGACTTGCCTAATTCTGCTATTGATGGACAAACTCCAGAGGGGGACATGAGGCGCAAAGATTTTCCTTTAGTCTTGCCCATTACAGATGTGGATCCCTAACGGCAAAACCCACGGAGAGGCGTGTGAGAAAAATAGGGTTCAAGTCCTCGTCGCTCTCAAAGCCCAGATAGACAGAGACGGAGAATGGATTCTTAGGTTCTGGAGGATCGCGTAAAGGAGCAAGATAGATTGATAAGGAGAATGGCGACTGACATGGAGATCATGAAGCGCCAGTTGAAAGGTAAAAGAATAGAAGGGGAAGAGATCTACGAAAGCAGAACGTGTTCTCGCCACTCAGGGGATGGCGACATGCGAGTCACACCATCGCAATCTAAAAGCAGAAATCTTAGGACATGCGACACATAATCAAGAACCTCTAGGACTCATTACTCCAGATCTGAAAGAACGAGGATTGAAAGGTCTGACACGGAGGGAAGCAATTATCGACCCTTACACACACATTAAACCACTTCTTAGCACACCTAGTTGCCTAGGTCGGCGGAGTTGCGAACCGTGCTAGAAGAAAGGGCTCGAAGGAGAGAAGACGCCCAGGCACGCGACCCCTAAAGGGTTTCTACTCTACAGCGACTGGCTCCTTGGACACATGCAAGTGTCAAGGTTGGAATGCCAATACTGCGCCTTGCTTACCAACCAACAGACAAAGAGTTAGCAAGCTTGCAAAGCTCGCCGTTCGTTCCGGCGATAGAGAACACAACATTACCCTTAGGCTTTCACCAGCCTAAGTGCACAACTTATGAGGAGAAGTCAGACCCCTACATGCACTTTTGCAACTTTCACCAGGTTATAGCCATGCATCGACGGATCAAGGCTCTAATGTGTATCTTATTTCCATCAAGCTTAGGCGACCTGGGTTTGACTTGGTTTGAGAGGTTGCTAGAAGGTAGCATCGCTTCATGAGCACAACTAGCGGAGACGTTTGTTACTAGGTTTAAGACAAACACCAAAACTCTGGTCGATATAGACCAGCTGCTCGACATTGACACGAGCCAGAAAGAAACGTTGAAATCTTACAATAACAAGTATTGGGAGATCTTCAACCAGATAAACGATTGTCTTACCGACCTAGCTATTGCACAATACAAGCAGGGTTTACTAGTGGGTCATAAGATAAGGGATTCAATGACAATGACGTTGCCTTTTACTATGGAAGCCCTGATGGAGATAGTGCACCAACACATTCGAGTAGAGAAAGATGGGGCGCGCGCTAAGGTAGAGTCCGGCACAACAGCGATGCCAAACAAAAAGCCTTCAGTTAGAGTTAACATGGTCAACAATCGACCGCGCAAAAATCTTTGCCCAACAGGGGGCAAAGGGAGTTGGCAGGTTTGACCAACTCTTTCAAACAAATGTTTACCTAGCAAAAGACAAAAGGGGTTGGCAAGTTTAACCAACAATTTTTCGCACTCTTTGATCGGGATAACAGTTATCTCGGCCAAAACAAGTTGGCAGGTTTGACCAACAAATTTTTGCACTCTTTGACCGGAATGATAGTTATATCGGCCAAAGCAGGTTGGCAGATTTAATCAAGAAATTTTTGCACTCTTTGACTGGGATGACAGTTATCTCGGCCAAAGCAGGTTGGCAAATTTGGCAAATAAATTTTTGCACTTTTTGACCGAGATGACAGTTATCTCGGCCAAAGTAGGTTGGCAGGTTTGACCAACAAAATTTTTGTACTCTTTGACTAGGATGACAGTTATCTCGGCCAAAGCAGGTTGGCAGGTTTGACTAACAATTTTTGCACTCTTTGACCGATATGACAGTTATCTCGGCCAAAACAGGTTGGTAGGTTTGACCAACAATTTCTTTTTTTTTTTGCACTCTTTGACTGAGATGACAGTGCCAAAGCAGATTGACAGGTTTGACCAACAAATTTTTGCACTCTTTGACTAGGATGATAGTTATCTCGGCCAAAGCAGGTTGGTAGGTTTGACCAACAATTTTTGCACTCTTTCACCGAGATGACAGTTATCCTGGCCAAAGCAGGTTGGCAGGTTTGACCAATAAAATTTTTGCACTCTTTGACTGAGATGACAATTATCTCGGCTAAAGCAAGTTCGCAAGTTTGACCAACAATTTTTGCACTCTTTGACCGAGATGACAGTTATCTTGGCCAAAGCAGGTTGGCAGATTTGACCAATAAAATTTTTGCACTCTTTGACTGAGATAACAATTATCTCGGCTAAAGCAAGTTCGCAAGTTTGACCAACAAATTTTTGCACTCTTTGACCGGAATGACAGTTATCTCGGCTAAAGCAAGTTGGCAGGTTTGAGCAACAAATTTTTACACTCTTTGACCGGGATAACAATTATCTCAGCCAAAGTAAGTTGACAGATTTGACCAACAAATTTTGGTACTCTTTGATCGGGATGACATTTATCTCGACCAAAACAGGTGGGCAGGTTCAACCAACAAGCTTTTGAACTCTTTGAGTAGGATTGTAGTTATCTCGACCAAAGCAGATTGGTAGGGTTAGTGTAAACTGAGTTAGTCTGCTCGGCGAGACACAGAAAGAACGACTCGTCGTATGATTGCAAACTCGAAGGATTTATACGTTGAAGGCAAAAAGACGGGTTGTTCCAATTTTGGAAGGTACATGACAACTGTAACAGGAGAACATGGCTAATAGGGGCACGCCACGTGTCCTAGGAATGACATCGTGTCAGATATGCCAGCGCAGTGGAAGGACATGTTAAGCAACATAAGACATGTTGGGACTGAACGAGTTGTGAAATCGAACAACTTCTCTAGCTTGGTAGAGTTGAGAGTTTTTAGCTCGGCTGGAGGAAAGTAATTCTAATCATACTTCGCAGATGGAATTAAGGGGCAATTGAGAGGGTAATTTGTATAGTCAAATTGGGCCGTGCTAGGAAGCATTGTTTCTGAATATTGGGCCGCGTTGTGGGCCAAGTTACGAGCTCAGGATAGCTCGGTGTGGGAACAATGGTTGACAGGCTAGTCGGTGAGCTCCAGATGCGGTCAGTGGGCGAACTGAAGTGCTATGTCAGCCACATAAAGGAAGCCGAGCTAGAGGTAGCCCGATGAGAGGATTCAAAACAACTGGTGATCGTGCGGCCCGATCAAAGTATTTGCACCAGATAGCTCGGTTAGGCGTAGCGAGCCAAGCAAGGTGATAAGCATCTCACTTGGTTGGCAGTGAGTAGGGTGTTATCAGGATATGCATTATCCTTGGGAATGTGATTCCTAGGAGGACTTTGCTAAGAAGAGTTAGAGTTCTCCTAGTTTTTAGTACTAAGATAGGCATTATCTTTGAGAATGTGATTTCTCGGAGAACTCTACTAAGGAGAGTTAGAGTGCTACTAGGATTGTGCTAGGCGAAATCTATAAAAGCTCATGGCAGAACCTATGCACAGGTATTACAATTCTTACTCTCAAATACGCTGAGCTTACTGTCTATTGTTTACTTGTTGATTTAGGCATCGGAGGGATTTCTGGCATACACCCGCTGACTATCTCTCGTGTGTTTTCAAGTAGCAAAACGACGACGTTTGGAGGAGTGCAAACTTGATCAACAGGATTATATGAGAAGATTATTTCGTGCTCGTATAGTTTTTTTTAATCAAATATGGGTTCAGCTCTTCAACAACCAATCATGGCATGGTACATTAGATATGGAGAGTGTAGCCATTTTCCTAAAAAGAATAAAAACACAAACACAAAAATTAGGCTAATGAATAGAATATACTTGCATTGCATGTGCAATGAAATTAAGTCATTAACATAGTAATGAAACAAACAGAAAACCTAAAAAAAATTTGCACATCTGACTTGATTCACTCATTAACAATCCGTTTTGAATGGATGATTTAGAGAAACAAGAAGTGAAACCCCCCAATTAACTGTTTCAATTACTAATGTTGTGCGAAATTGGATAGAAGGACAAAAAAAACGAAGAGAAAAACACCTATCTTAAAACCCACTTTTTAAATCTCCTCTAAAGGTGGAGAGATTTGGAGAAAAAATAAACCAGCTGAATGCTAACATTTTAGAATACCAATAAGTGTATTTGATTTAAATTTTTTGGATTAAGTTTTTTAAAAATTGAGTTTTTTGATTTTCGTGCTTTTTTGTTTTTAATGAATATTTTTAAAATTTTAAACATTTTTTTTTTACTTTTTTAGATACACCTTACTTAGATGTATCTAAAAAGTAAAAAAAAAATGTGAAAAAATATTTTAAAAAATTAAGAAATACATAAAAATACAAAAGATGTACTGAATTCTTGTAATTTTTTTTATATTTTTGGTATTTAGTGAATTTTTAAAAGATTTTTTTTACAATTTTTTTTACATTTTAGGTGTATTTATGTTAGGTGTGTCTAAAAGGTAAAAAAATTGCGTAAAATATTAAAAAAATTCAGTAAAAACAAAAAAACACAAAAAATAAGAAGGTAGAATTTTCTGAAAACTGTTTTTAAAAATATGAAACCAAACATTGTGAATATTCTTCATCTAAATACAAAAAATAAAAAGAAATGACATTGACAAAGTTTATTTTGGTAAAGCAACATAACGAACTCTATTTCTTTTCTCTTATGTGGTCTAATCAAACAAAATAGGAAAACACCAATTTTCTTTTTTCCATCTCCAAACTTAAGTAATCTTTTATTTTCTTGTCTCCCCTAGATTCCCAAACAAGAGTAAGTTTGATCTCTCATAGTAGGACTTTATCCATCACTTTCATCAATGTGTTAGATACAATTTATAAACACCATTACCAATGCTTCACATTGGATTAAATTGCTTTCACTATTTTACCATATATCTTGTATTTTAATCACAAAAACTTTGGTTTCTCATAAAAAATATAAATTTAAAAAAGAAAAAAGAAAAGAAAAGAAAAAAAAAGGAAATCTGGAACCATACTGACTAGAGAAATTACACAAAATATATCTATCTATCCTATTTGTCACCATCACTTTTGGATCAACCACATCGGATCTACAGAAAACTTCACAAATCTTCCACAAAGTTAAAACCAATTTCATGATCAGCATTCTTTCTTTTGTGCAGTGCTGAAAAGCCTATGGAGCTTGATCATCACTTGCATGAATTTGGGTCCGTGGAATATCACATTCAGGTAAAAGTTTGGGAAATCCTAGCCTAGTGAAACTCACCAGTATTTTGATCAATCTTTGCATTCTAAATTCTATCCTTTTGCTGTTTGATTTGAACGGAACAAATGATCTCTTACCATATCCTTGTATCACATGAATCACAGTGACTATCCTATTATGCATCATATAGTCAGATAATAGAAATATGAAAAGTTTTAGAAATGTGAAGTTAGTTGGTGCCACAAATCATTTCAATTTTGACAATTAGTCATTGTTACAAAATGAAGAAGAGATATACTTTTACACACAATAAGAGCTGGAAAGAGTATATTAATTTGCTCAGCTTTATTGATAAACCAAACAGCCATTATATAGGCAAGTAAACAAACTGATAGTAGCAAGAAAACAGGAACTACTAAAGCATGAAATCAGGAACTGAAATGACTGCACAGCAGGCTCAACTTACTCCTAAAACTAAGCCAAAGTAGGCCATGTACAGCAACTAACTAGGAACAGCAGTAAACAAACTTCCTAAAGACTAGGACAACTCCTTGATTTTTCTAACAATCCCTCCCTTAAACTGATGTTTCAACACAGTTTACTGAAGGTATCCGAAGTGCAAACACCAAGCATTTTTCTTAGCTTCTGAAACGCAGGAAACTTGAGAGACTTTGTTAAAATATCAGCAACTTGGTCTTCACTTCTGCAGTAAATTAGATCAATGGCTCCATCATTTGTGAGATCCCTCAAGAAATGATACTTCACATCTATATGTTTGCTTCGGCCATGCAGAACAGGATTTCTTGACAGCTTTATTGCTGAAGTGTTGTCACAATAAATTAGAGTAGGCTCATCTTCCTTGAACTGTAGCTCTTTGAGAATCTTCTTTAGCCAAATAGCTTGACAAGATAGTAGCAAGAAAACAGGAACTACTAAAGCATGAAATCAGGAACTGAAATGACTGCATAGCAGGCTCAACTTACTCCTAAAACTAAGCCAAAGTAGGCCATGTACAGCAACTAACTAGGAACAGCAGTAAACAAACTTCCTAAAGACTAGGACAACTCCTTGATTTTTCTAACAGTCATAACCTACCATGATAAAGTCGAGAAGTTAGCAGCATGGACCATGTTCACTAAAAGTGAACAATCGAAGAAACATGAGGATACAGACATAGATTCAAATTCTGGGCACCTTTTTTGGGTATTTTTCTGGCTACATAGCATTTTTGGCAAACAAAAAGGTTCACGGTAGAGCATGAAAGCAACTGTCATCTTTCTATAATGTTGAAGCAATTTGGCACATAGTTTAGACTTATTCTGAGTGTTATTCCCATATTGTTTAACAGTCATCAGCATCAGATCCATATAATACTTACTTGTCGATATCAACACCACTGCTCTCCCACGGAATCCTGCTTTCAAATGGGCTTCCACATTCTACTATAGAGATGGTAAAGGGAATTTCTTCTGATGTTGTAGAGATTGTTGAACCTGCAAGAGAAGGATATCAGCTTACTCTGAAACTTGACTTTGCTAGAATTCCACATGGCAAAGGTTCATTATTTTTCATACGATTTCATTTTTTATTTTTTCACTTGTACTAGATTATTGCTTGAATTATCTCTTACCATTTATAGTTACTACTGTTCATTATTATGGGTATAATTGAAACTTTGCTTATAACTGTAATCAGAAATATATATAGCGGTGTCACTTTTGGAGGTTTATTTAAAAATAAAATAATTATTCATTTTATTGCTGAGAAATAGAGAAGAAGAAAGATGGTAATTTCCCACTGTTGGGAATTAGAATGACAGTTAAAGGTTCAAACAAATATTTCTTTTCGAGCACATGCTAGTGGTGCAGTGGAAAAGCACCAGATCTCTTGGGGTCAACCAACTCACGGGGTCCAGCCCTGGGATCCCCTTCCGCCATCCCTTGACCAAAAAAAACAAAACTTGTACTTCTTCTACACAAGTCTATCCAGCAACCACAAGAAGCATATATAAGCATTACATAAGCTGATTTTAAACATGCTAACCACCCACAAATATCAAAATTAATGCAAGTTAACTTTAAGTAAAAATATTTTAAATTCTTCATATACATGGTTTTATATGTATATACATATATACAATTTAGTTATGTATTGATATTTATTTCTTTTTTAAACACTATGTATGTAGTTTTATTTGTATAAACATATATAAAACTATACATTATGACAAATAAAGTGAATCTTATGATTCATGATTCACTATTTTAGCAAAAGGATTCATGATTTGATGATAATACTCCCAACCATTAGATCATTCCTCAAGATTCCTACATGATCTAATGGTTGGAACTTGGAAGTACTTTGAGACAGATGACAGGACCTGGGCCATTTTGAAACCGACCACCAAAATAGAAAACTAACATGGAATTAGTGTGGAAGAAAATGATGTTTCTACAAGTACTTATGCAAAATAAGGAAACTATTACGAAATGCTTACTTCATTGTGTCAGTATGTGTTTTCTTCCAGAATCCATGAAGATAATCACAGAAATCTCCACAGTGCAATCAGTAATACTGAGCTCTCAGCTGAAAGAAATTTTGAGGAATATTAGTTCTCAGGATGCACCTCAAGGGATCTACAGACCAATCAAGCTCGTGTATCACCCAAGAGAGCCTTTCTTTGTAATCAAACAGGTACGTCTATGCTTCGGGAATAAATGAAATGTCAACAGAAGCAAACGAGACGGTTAAAGACACAATGAATAAACAAGCTAGCAATTGTTCGTTAAGACAAACACAGAGATATGAAATCTTCAACTTGATAAAAACTTTAAGTCGGAATCAAATTTAAGAACTTAAATTTGCAAACATAATTACTTCTTGAAAATTTGACTATTCTTGAGAGCTAAATCATGTTTTTGAGAGCTAAATCAATATATATATATTTAAAAAAAATAGAGAATGCAAGGAAATAGAAAACACATAATTATGGACCTCAACAATTCTCCTATGAAGTAAAAATATTAGTCTTAATTTTTTTTTTTTTTTTGATGGAAGAATAGCATATTTTTCTAGTCCAAGTAGCCTTTTAATGCTCCAAGGTATGTAAAATAGGTCCCAAAGTTGAATTCCAAGCTCTTTGAAATTTTCAATCCCATGATTTTTTTTTCCCAGCTGCTGTTTTTTATTTTTTATTTTTTAATATAAACTCTTTAATCACTCAATATAAATCTGATAGTTTATTACACCAAAACTATATAAATAGACAGATTGTTCTATTATCTTCTTCGATTTTTCAAAGTTGGAATTTATGGCCCTAATAACATATCTAACTGGAGAAACATCCAAACTGTTAACGATTGGCAACCAAAGCCGTTCCACTTTCAATATGTACAAATAATTCTACGAATAGTTTAGTGTTTTTTTAACTGCCATAATGAAAATCAGCCTGTTTGTTTGACAGCCAGCAAAAATTACTGTAGTATTCCCAATGCGCTTCAAAGAAAATACAGATGTGATAATTGCGACAGCCTTCTTTCAGGTTTGTAGCAAATAATCATGAGATGAAAAGATTTCTTATGTGCCTAACATTGAAACAAAAAGGTCTTAATATTCATGAAATAATAGAATAATTTTGGCAGGAACTGATGGACGTGGGAAGTTCAAAACAATGGGCTAAAGCACCTCCTTGCACCTGGTCCCCCATTCCACCCCCTGAGTTAAGAGGAGAGCACTTGGAAGACTTGAGCACCAATGGAGGGTTTGCCACTTTTGGTATTGACTAAAGTTACCATATCAATGTTTACATAGACTCCTCTAAACATATGAAGTACCCATATTGGACATGCAACACTTGAAGAGTATGAGATATTGTCTGCATGTGCACTAGTGGCATTCACCTAGCAAGAAGATTTAATAATTTGCGTTTACCATAAAACAATGCATACAACCCCATATTACGCATGCAGTGCTCCATGGTCCCTTCTAAATACTATTTTACATTAAAAAACAAAATAAGTATATTAGGAACTATGAATATTTTTCCGAGTCCCTGTGACCATGAACATAGAAATTAGATGAATTGGACACATACCAACACTATATCAAAACATTGTGTCATGCAGCTATGAACCATATTCAAATTATTTCAGGAAAAAAAGAATATAGATAAAATATCATAAGAAAGGACCCAAATACTCAAAACATGAACTACTAATGCAAAACATGTAAGCAAGAGATCCATCTTCAGTCGTGTTTAGTAACATTGCATAAAATTTTAAAAACAGACTTGTCTTAAGATACATTCACCGGGCAGAAGTTGAATTGGCTACATCTAATGCTATTTTTTTTATGACATATTAACAGATATTTCTTCACGTCATGTTGAAGGCAAAAAGCTAGACAAGACCGTGTGGAGCCTACTGAACTTCTATGCCTTTGTAAAAAATCATGTAAAGGTAAAATATTTAACTATTTGTAAATCATTAAGCATTGATTTTCTTATCTTAAAGCTGATGAGATTCTTAAACAGTGCACCAGAAGTTTTATACAGAGAAGGATGAGAAACCGTTTGGAAAGTCTAGTTGAGGTAATAGGACTTATGCCTTAAAAATTAGCTCATGGTTGATTCAAGTCCGATATCATGTGGGTGAACAAAACTCTTTACTCTTATTGTTTAAAAGAGTGGATTCCATTGCCTTAAATGGACTTCGCCTCACTAATTTAACCAATGAGAATTTAGTCGATTCTTTTTTTTTTTTTGAAGAATAAATTTAGTCGATTCTTTTGCTTTCACACAAGCACACTTAAATTGAGTTGCTGCTAGATCCTATCAAGGGAAAGTTCAAATTGGTACTTTATTTATATTTTTGCAACTTCCAGGTCCTGCGTCAGGGAACCAGAGAGGAAGATCAACATATAAAGAAGGTTCAAGGTATGCCTTCAGCATATAGGATGACAAATAGAAAGTATAATATTTAAAAATAAAAATTACGCTTTTCACCCTCCAACTTTCATTTGAATTTTATTTTGGTTCCTTATCTTCTCATTGAAACAATTAAATCTAAAACTTCAACAATTAAGTCCTCTTGTTAGTAACCTCTAAAAATTTTCAAGCGAAGTGTTCACATGAGGGCCACATGAACAAGTTTTATAGCCATTAGAAGAAAAAATGATTAGGCAAATTATACTTTCGATCTTCCAACTTTCACTTAAATTCCACGGTGGGGTGATGGGAGGGCCAAGCTGAAACACAAATTGAAGTTGAGGACTTAGTGTTTGCAATTAGGAAAGTGATAGACTAAAGTGAAATTCAGGTGAGAGTTGGAGGGTAAAAAGTGTAATTTATTGTCTTTAAAAAGAAAAACAGACGGGAGCAGGTTTTCAAAGTAATTTAGCCAAACCCACCACCCAAACCATACAATCAAAGGAAATTGTGGTATTTAACAGGGGTATTTGCAGTATACTTCAATTGACATACTCTTTTCTTCATCCTTTCCAACAGAAACAAAGTACAGATAAAACTAATGAATGTCATAATGGTGCTTAAGCTGTTGGTTTCAAAATCTCGAAACTAGATTACTTTTCATTAATGTTTTAATCACAGAAAAATGGTTTGATGCAGGATGTAGGTGTATAAGAAAACTAGTAAGTTTCTCCAAATCCAAAACAATAAGGCGAAGATGTGCTTTCACCAACAAGATCAAGAGAATCCGCTCCAGAATTAAAATTCATGCGTTCAGTCGTTTTCGTCGACGATGGCTCTCAATTCCCAAGTTTTCTTCTGTAAAAAAATACAAAAAACTAGACTAAAAAAGGGTGACTCAGTGCACAAGACTCCCACTAAAGCGAGGTCCAAGGAGGGCAAGACATACACAACCATATCCGCATTTCTGGTTACATAAAACTAGACTAGTTTATTTTATCCCTAATGAACATATGACACAAGTTTATTGCAGTAATAACTTCGCTAACAACATAGCATGGAGTATGGACATCTATTATTCATTTGGCTGTAACAGTACAATATCAAAATAGTTGAATATTTGAAATTGAAAAATCTACTTCAAGTAATTTCACCTTAATTTTTTTTTATCAAAATTGAAAAGACTAATTTTGCTTACAGGCTCTTTCACATCACAACTAGGCAAAAGACTAAAAGCATGTAGTATCAAACTCAATGTCTATTCTGTCAAAGTTGAACCATAATATTATTAGACGTTACAATGCCAATAAACCAATATTTTGATATATTCATTCATCTATTGTGTGAACCAAATTAATTATAGGTGTGGCCTACAACACCATATACCTCATTTTCGGGATGCATAACATTTCCGATTTCTTAAAAATGCAAGAAACTACATATTCAATACTTACCCCTCCCACTAAAATTTAAAAAAGAAAATATGCAATGGGCTGCGCAGTGCAACTTTTGTTGAGCAAAAATTCATAATCTGAAGCTAAAAGCATATCATTTTCCAGTTTCTATATAGACCCGTTTGGTAGAGTTGTGAGAAACTGAATATAATTTATACCTTAACAGCTTATAACTGTGAATATAACCCTTACCAAACAGGGCAATAAGCCTTTTTTCAACTTATTTAAGTTATTCTCTTAGCTAAGTACATAAGTTGCACCAAACAATCTTTAAAAAAAAACAACAAAAAATCTCAAATTATAATTTTCTTTTTAAAAAAAGTAATAAGAAGCTACAATAAGTTACACCATATTGGATTAAGTCACACCATTTCATTGTCATTCACGAAGTAGCAGTTTAATCCAAGTCCATGAACTAAAAGGGAATGAGAAATAAGAATAAAGGGTTGTTTGGGGTACACTACAAAATACACTTATTTATCTTTTTTAAATCATATTATTCCTCTATTTTTTTAGGCATCATATTTTTAAAAAAAAATATCAAAAAGTAATTATTTAAATCATTTCAAACACCCCTAAGTCGAGAGGTCAAATTTCATGTACACAATAGGAGTTTTCTTTGATTCTAGTCACAATCATAACAAGTTAAAAAGAAAAAAAAAAAAAATCAAAGTGATCTGAAAAAGAATTACCTCAAAGATCCTTCAGCTTCCAGTAGAGCATTTGGAAACTCTCATATATCTGAGTCCCTCAACGATTTCTTCAAACCCTAGAATTGGAATGTAAGTAGCGTCAACGCCGTCGAAGAATTGATGAGAATGAAACTCACTGATTTTTTGATAAATCTCATATTATTTTACATCAAAAATGTTAGAGATCAAAAGTTTAATCAAAATTTTTATTGAAAGGGACCTATATGATGTGGGACTCAATTTTATATGAGATATTTGGTAAAATTTTTAGATTTGTAACATTATTTCGCACAGAAAATATTATAGATCTTAAATTTTTAATCAAATAAATGATTAAATGTTTCACATGAATATACTTCACACCCATATAAGACATTTAGTCATTTATTTAGTAGAAAATTTAAAACCTATAACATTTTTCGTTTGAGATTATAGCTGAAGAGAAAAATGATGGAGAGAAAGAAATTAAGAGTAACTTGGTGGGTGGTTGTGTAAATAACTTAATCAATTAATTTTTAAACATTTAAGTCAATGATAGACTAAGGCCTCGTTTGGGAACAGGCTAATTTAGTAACTTTTTGGCTATTTGGCTAAAATGTGATGTAAAAAAAACTAGTATGTTTGTGATGACTTTTTGGCTTTTTACGAAAAGATGTGCAAAAAGTAGAGAGAAAAGGGAATCTTTGACTTTTTGGTATGAGTTGTTGGCTTTTTGGTTTTTTTAGTAACTTTTTGACTTTTTGACTAAAATAGCCTCTTGCCAAACGAGGCCTAAGTCAATGATAAGTCTACATAATAAGATATTGCTTACCACTCTTAAAAAAAATTTGTTGAATAGTAGAGCAACATGGTGGGTAAGTGGTTGCCCAATATTCTCAATGGTAAAATGAGTGAAACCCCCAATTTTGGAGATTTTCATGACTTCTAAATTAATTTGGACCGTTTATATGTGTTGTTTTTTATTTTTTATTTTTTTCTCTCTCTTATATGAATGGTCAGATCATTTTAAAAGTTATGAAATTTCTAAATTTAAGGGTCTCAATCATTATTCAATGTGAAGGGATCCCTTAATCCTCAAATGAAGGTAAACAATCATTAGAGTTAATACTTACATTATACTAATAGTTGACTTACAAGAGTGCCCCCAATTGATCACCATGGTCAATAAGGACTTGCATGTTTGTTGTTGCAGGTCGTTAGAGAATTCACTGGCATTAATGTAAACTACGCTTATCGGTTGTTCTAAGTGTAATTCAACTTCTTCTTCACACAAAAATGATAAAAATAAAGATCAATTTTTAGGTATATATGTATATATATTTTTCCCCATTACAAAGATAAACAATGAATCACAATCTTAATCAATCCAATATTACTAACCAAAAAAAAAAAAAAAATCTCAAGTTGAATAAAGTAACTCAAATAAATATAGAGTATGATCATGCAAATAAGAAAAGTCCAATTCAGATCCCTAGAGCTGTAAGGGTTCTGGTCAATGTTGCAAACATTACATGAACCTTCTTTCGATATGGACATTAGTGGTTGAAAACACACAGTTTCTCATGAGGTTGTCACAGTCCACCAGAGCAATCATCTCCAAACATGAGGTTCATTCACATGACATGTATGTGGTGTAGGAACTAGGAAGAAGCTATATTATGGCACATTCTTTGACCATAGAGCGAATGTAGTTTTACATTATTACATTGCTTAACCAAGTTAGGCTTAGGCAACCAAGCAGGATATGTAGTCAGGTGGCCGGTCTATTTAGCACGACATAGTTCACACTCGGAATAGACTAAAAGATTGTTTGGAATGAGCTAAATAAATGTATTTTTTATCTTTTTATGAAAAAATATATAGAAAAATAGAGAGGTGATGTGATGAAAAAAAGATAAAAATATGAATTATTTTACAACAATGATTTAGACCACTAAAAAATACATCATAATAGCACTAATGCATTGGGAATGGTAAAAAAAAAAAAAAAAAATAAGGCATAGAAAGTGGGCGGGGCACACTGCCACATCATTAGTACTCTTTTTAGTACTCTATTTTTAGTGCTTCCAAGCATTTTTCATTATTTTAAGGATGCCAAACTTGACTTAAGTCAATAATAAGGCCAAGTTTGGGATGTTCCAAAAAAGTCAAAAAGCCAAAAAGTTACTCAAAAAGTTAAAAAGTTAACACTATTCACCAAAAGTCAACAATTACGGCTGCACAACTCCCAATTCAAATTTTTCCCTACAAATCAATTTTTACAATTTTTTATTACACATTTTTCAATAAAAAGTCAAAAAGTTAACCCAAACATCCATATTTTCAACCTCAATTTTTTAGTCCAAAAAGACAAAAAGTGCACTTATTTAGTCTTCCCAAACTTGGCCTAAGTCTACATTTGATATGGTATTGCTTACCACTCTTAAAAAAAATTGTTGAATAGTAGAGCAACATGGGTAAGTGGTTGCCCAATATTCTCAATGGTAAAATGAGTGAAACCCCAATTTTGGAGATTTTCATGACCTCTAAAATAATTTGGACCGTTTATATGTGTTGTTTTTTTATTTTTTAGTTTTTTCTCTCTCACATGAATGGTTAGATCCTTTTAAAAGTTATGGAGATTTTTAAATTTAAGAGTATCAATCATTGTTCAATGTGAAGGGATCCCTTAATCCTCAAATGAAGGTAAACAATCATTAGAGTTAATACTTACATTATACTAATAGTTGACTTATAAGAGTGCCCCCAATTGATCACCATGGTCAATAAGGACTTGCATGTTTGTTGTTGCAGGTCATTAGAGAATTCACTGGCATTAATGTAAACTATGCTTATCGTTTGTTCTAGTGATAAAAATAAAGATCAATTTTTAGATATATATGTATATATATTTTTCCCTATTACAAAGATAATCAATGAATCACAATCTTAATCAATCCAATATTACCAACCAAAAAAAAAAATCTCAAGTTGAATAAAGAAACTCAAATAAATATAGAGTATGATCATGCAAATAAGAAAAGTCCAATTCAGATCCCTAGAGCTGTAAGGGTTCTGGTCAATGTTGCAAACATTACATTAACCTTCTTTCGATATGGACATTAGTGGTTGAAAACACACGGTTTCTCATGAGGTTGTCACAGTCCACCAGAGCAACCATCTCCAAACATGAGGTTCATTCACATGACATGTATGCGGTGTAGGAACTAGGAAGAAGCTATATTATGGCACATTCTTTGACCATAGAGAGAGAGCCTCATTTGGACTTTCTTTGTTCATCAATGTTTTTTACACCATCTAAAATTCAAGCAAACTTTTCCCAAAAGTACTCAAATTCAACGGCTGTGATCTTCTGATCTATTGTCAGGGAAAATATGTGATTTCTCACAAGTAAATCAATCAATGAGAATAAAAACTAATGCGGAAAAATTAAATAAAAAGCAACACAAGAATTTTACGTGATTCCCTCAATGTGAGGTACGTCCACGAGATCGAAATCCGATTCCACTATCAACCAAATAAGTTTCCAAACGATTACAAACGAGATACAAATGGTCTCACAAAATCACCCTTAGGTGAATTCCAAATAATCACAAATAAATAAGAGGAAAGATCTCACCAAATAGATAAACAAAATCTTTAGAACCAGAGTTGAAGAAGATCCAAAATAACGAACCAAATTAACTTCAGAACAAAGGCAACATAAACATAAACAAATCAACCACCTTGACAAATCTTCACCAATTTTAAATCTTCGGCACTGTTACCGAACCAAGGCACTAGTATGGCAGCCGGCCGCACACTTTTTGGTGAAAAACCAATCTCACTATCTCAAATATTGAACAATATATATATATATATATATAATTGGGTATTGGGTTTTGTAATCAAACCCTAATTATTATCAAATTGAATTAGGTCTCTAAAAAATTAGATATAATATATATAAAATATATTATACCCAAACCAAACAAAATTAAAATTCTTTAACCAAAACCAATTGGGTCCCACACTCCAATAAGGAGGTATACCCAACAATTCTCTCCATACCGACTTAGGTGGAGACATCAACCATACCCGCCAAAGTTCGACATTTCAAATGTTTGTCCCGCGACAAATTCTTTGTCAACATATCCGAAATATTATCGTCTGTGTGAACCTTTTCGAGTTGTAACAATTTCGAATCTAACACATCACAAATCCAATGGTATCTCACATCAATGTGTTTCAATCTCAAATGAAAAGTAGAATTTTTACCAAGTGAATAGCACTTTGACTATCACAATAAAGCACATACTTTT